TTTCCGACAGCAGCTAGTTATGACATATAATTTATATTATTATGACATTATTATATTTTTACAATTAAATTTCATTATTTTTATATAACCTGGTATATCTTTATTGTGACAATATCGTTTTAGGAACCACTTACAATAATTAACTGTAGATGAAAAACTAACACGAATTGCGTCCSGGACGCAATTCGTTCAAAAAGGTTCGTCCACCTGTTTTGGTACGCAATTCGTGTGTACCCATTAACCTATAGGTCTATCGTCTATGGCACTAGTGACGACATTACGTATTTTGGGGCCCTAAATTTTTTTTCTCGGAATGCCATACAATTATGAAAAACAAATAAGTAGACACGGGCCCTCTGACCTCCACCCACGGAGACTTGTGCACTGAGTCCTCCCCCTCTAGCGCCTATAGTATGGCACCATTATCTATTATCTATGTATGACACGGTCTTCACCTTAGATCACGGTCATAGAAGATCTTCTAAGACCGTGCCTTAGATCATATACAATGGATGGAGCCATGTCCCGATTTGTTGAAGCACATATTAGCGACGAGTCACGAGATGAGATGCACGATCTGCGCATGTGCATGTATACTCGTCGCATATTTATTAAAAAAATTGCATCTTCCTTGGGAATTCATACTAAAAATTCGTCATATCTCATATAAATATTAAATACACAAATCTATTATTCATCTATTAATATAACAAAATTAATATTATTTAAAAATTAGTAAGTAGTAATAACTAAAATTCATGGACTAAGATATATCTTAGTCCATGCTAATATTGTATGTTCTGTGATAAATAATTAATAAAATAAATAACTATATTAKTATTTTGAATATCCCGCGTTTTTATTTATAAAATAAACATGTGAAGAGTATACATGCACGCATGCGCAGATCGCTCATCTCATCTCGCGACTCGTCGCTAATATGTGCTTCAACCTGCTAACACAGATTATATAATCTGTGCTGCTAACATGGGCAAGATAGGACATGGTTTTCCATCCATTGTATATGATCTAAGGTCTTCACCTAACCGTGGTCTATGGTTTTCTTTATATCAGTAGTCCGTGTGCCGTGTACACGGCGTAATATCATATTATTGTTCAGCTATGGTCAACAACATGGTAACATGGTTAATAGTATGGTGACCTTATCTAACCAACCAATTACAGCAAAGGATTTACGCAACTCTGTATAAAACTATAAAGGAAACCACGTTTGTTGATCTTGATATAACCGTGATGGAAACTGGAAACCCACCTTATGGATATATTTGAAATATTTGAATTCTGATAATAGTTTAGTTTCATTGTATTGCGGATTGCGGATATTTTGCCTCCAATTTATTGTTTACTTATTAGTTATTAGTTATTACTTCACATTTTTCAGTGTGTCTATAATAGTGTAATGTCTGTATTCAGTGTATTCTACCCATAATCTTGTGAGTTGTGATCAAATTTTTAGACTGTGGTTCGATGCTCCATGGTGCCGGGCCCAGGTCAATTCGTTGTTATAGCTGATTAACTGCTTCATTTTTCTATTTCACTCATTGTCTTTTGTCGGCATCGAATACGAATATAATATAATATGATATAGTCGTTGGTCAACAATCCGACACTCTGCACTCTGTCTTCGTCTAATTTTTTAATAACTTTCTGATCATGATACAACTCACTTGAATTTTGAAGTTTCGTTGACAGAATTTTGTTTACTGCAGTTATTCTGTAATTTAAATAAAGATTAGTGAAAATTCAAATTTTTTTAAATAAAAATACTAATTATGGAAATCGAAGAGTGTCCATATCGTGCTGAATACGCTAAAAGTGGTAGATCAAAATGTAAAGGATGTAAGGAAGGTATTGAAAAGGATCATCTTAGACTCGCTGTTATGATTCAAGTATGTCAATATTAATATAATATTCAAAAACACAATTTAAGTAGCTATCATAGAAATTGTGTTATGTACATTTTTATCTGTAAAACCTACCTACCTTTCTATAATAATGTGTTATAATTTCAGTTGTTAGATCTCCCATGTGTTATCTGTTTTACAATACTAATGATATTCCAAATTGTAATTAGTGGAGTCAATTTTGTATTGCGCTTTGTTGTTAAAGTGAATTAACATTATTTACAAATTAAAGCTAAGAATATTATTTAGAGTATATTGTAGTTAGGTTTTTATAGGGTTTTTTTATTGATATTTAATTTTTTAACCAATTTAAATACATTTTAAATTTAAATATCAATAAAATTCTTTATCAAATCATACCATTTCAAAACTTAATTATTTTTCCTAAAGAGTAAGAACAAAAAATTTGTGTTTTTGAACGTAAGTTTGCTATATTGTACATTTGTTAGATTACAGAATACATATTTTCCTACTAATATGGGTATGGTGTCCTCTAATTTAATACAATATCAATTATTTTCAGTTGTACCATCACATTTGTGTAATGTATTTGTATCATTAGCTCTGTTACATTGATAGTTTTTTTTTAAATTGTATAAATTAATTAATATTTCAAATAAAAAATGGATACATTTATATTTTACCAGGCAAAACTAATGATCTATACCAGTTTCTGTTTGTACCATTGTATTCAATATTAAAAAATACATTGGATTGAAACAAAAAATTCCAATATGGGTGTCAGATAAAGTAGAAATATATTATTATCATACATTTTATAAACAATAAACAAAAAATAAATAAGTTTTGTTATAAGATAACTATTTAATTGAAAAAACATATTTAATTTGAATAACTAATTATTTTCATTTAATTTTTAAACTATATTTATATTTTCAGTCTCCTATGTTTGATGGTAAACAGCCAAATTGGTACCATTTCAATTGTTTTTTTGCAAAACAACGACCTAAAACAGTTGGTGATATTGGTCATTTTGATTCAATTAGATGGGAAGATCAAAAAAAAATCAAGACTAAATTAGGTAATTTTAATCAAGATAATTTGTATAATGTACTAGGTAAATAAGAGGCCTAGTCAAAAGTCAGCTATCCAGGGTGGTTAGAGGGGTAAATGGACATTTCGCCCCCATAAAAAAACCAGTCCACGTACGTTTCTTCCCCGGCAATTTTTAAGATGGGACGTTTCGTCTCGGAGAGTTATAAGACTTAGGACGTTTGGTCCCCGGCATATTTTGATTAAAGGACATTTGGTTCTCAGGTTTCTAAATAAACAGCATTCAGACATTAAATATATTAAATTTCGAAGTAATAATACTAGCAAACAAGAAAAAATAATTTTAATTAATATAATTGTGATTTATTTAAATTTTGACTATTTGTATAATTATATTGTGTGAATATTGATTATGTATTTGTAATTTTGTAATATTGTCATTTAAACATTAAATTGTTCATTTAAAATTAAAGTACTTATTAAAATATGCCAGGGACCAAATGTCCTATGTCTAATATCTCTCCAGGACGAAACGTCCTATCTTAAAAATTGCCAGAGACGAAACGTCCGGGGACTGGTTTTTTTGACGGGAACGAAAAGGCGGGGGCAAAATGTTCGCAAAACACGGTCCCACCTAAGTATAATATTTGAAGTCTGGTGAATAAGTAATATAGGACTGAGTGGTAATATTGTGATGAATAATTTCCCACCCACTCCTAGTTTTTTGGACAGAAAAAAAGGTATAAAAAAGGCCAATCACATATTTCTATTTTTTTTAAATATATTGGATAACCTAACTATGTTTACTAAATAATTACTATTTCATATCATACCAATCTTTTAAACTTTTTAAATGACAACTCAAAAAACTTAAATTAAGCTATACTGTAAGCATTAAGTGTATCTTGTCATTGAGAAGTAAGAGTTATGTACCTATATGTGTTAAATTTAAATTTTATGATAAACCACTGCAGATGAAGAACGATTCTAAGTGAAGACAGATAATCCTATTAGCCTCTATTACTATGTTTATTTTAAAACATATTAATAAAATATATAAATGTAATTTATTTTACTATTAGTGTGTATAAATATAATAATATATAATAGGTTATAATATCAATTATTCTTGACCAAAAATTATTTCCAAATTGTTATAACTTTTTTTTTTTTTTTATTAAAGTAGAAAAAAATATACAATCTGTATAACATAATACAATAAGTAATTTAGATAACATTTTTACCAGTCTGGACGGCTTGAGGGAAGGGAGAGTCCATTGACACTACTAATTGTTATAACTTAAACAAATTTTGTTGAAATTTGAACTTTAAATGCTTATCTAAAAACATTGTACTTATGTATCATTAATATTTTTATTTATCTATGGTAAAAACTTTTCAGGAAGTGTTTTAAATTTTTCTATTTTTTGCCCCAGAAAATTTTCTTATTAGACTTATAATAAGCAAATTGCTTTAGAAGAGTAGACATTTTTTGAAAATTTCATATGTATAGATAAGTAATGCTATTTTTTTTAACTCATTATTTAATTTTATATACAAAATGGGACCATTTACTGGTTGAAAACTATTACTTTATTCTCTAAATGATGTTGTCTCTTGTCTTTAAATAAAATGAGTAGTTGACAAACATTCCCATCTGTAAAAATTATAGTATTTAATTTTTCTTTAGAATCTCTTGTTGGAACTGCTGATCCTGTATCAACAAAGAAAAAATCAAATGGAAAAAAAAAGGAGGACACAAATTTTAATGTGGAATATGCAAAATCCGGACGAGCTGTTTGTTGTGGGTGTCAAGAAAAAATTATAAAAGTATGAATGTAATTAATAGCATTAAATTCATTTTCTAAATTAATTTAAAAAGTTAGACAAGTAGGTACTGCTTTACAAACAGTAGTTGTTAAGTATTTAATTTTAAAGGATGTGTTAAATAAAACATTTCTGTATTTCTGAGTATTGAGCCTACTTATACTTTATAATAATGTTGTTTTAGTGATAATAGGTAGCAAATTTGATCTTTTAACTCTTATTAAGACGTGATAAAGTTTCCTGCAAACTTTTTTTTAATATCATAGAAAAACATTTAAGAAATCCTGTATTAAGTTTTCAAATCATGGGTATAAAAAGAAAAATTGTTACAGATTTCAGACATTAAAATCATTTGCAACTTTCTAATTTTCGTTTCTTGATTTTGACTTAAAATGCTAAAAAAAAATAAAATTATTTATGTGTACCAAATTTTTGAGTCAATATTAAAACAATTTATGAAGAACTTAACATTAAATTTTTAAGTTTTTTGATGGAGCAAAAAATTATTTATCTAAAACATCTTATTATAACAATAAATAGCTCAGAAAGAGTTAAAATATTTTGAACATTTTATCACTAATGTTTTCATAATTTTTTTAGGAGGATATTCGTATAGGAAAAATGGATTATGATAGTGACGAAGGTCGACGTTTCGGTGGTATAAATAGATGGCACCATTTAGAATGTTTTGTTAAACTTAGGCAAGATTTAGGATTCTTGGATCTTGCTTCCTCTCTATCTGGCTTCATTAACTTAAATGAAGTAGATAAAACTAATCTTATAAATTTGTTGCCTAGAATGTCTACTACAACGACTAATATGTGAGTTAATTTTTTGGTTAATTTGTTTTTATTTATTACTTATAATTATATAGTTATAATTATGACAATTATAATTGTTCCTATACTTAATTGTTGTTGTTAAGTGTTGGTAATTTAGATGAAACTGATGGACCCAGTTCAAGTAAAAAAATGAAGTCTAATGATCACTCAGATTTGGAAATAAAAAAACAAAATAAATTGATATTCAAATATAGAGATTATTTAAAATCGTGTTCTGTTAAAATATGTAAAGAACTTTTGGAGTATAATAAACAAGAAGTACCAGAGTCAAATATCGGGGCGGTATGTAATTCAAATTTTTAATTTAAAATACAATGGAATGTGCATATTTGGTGGTTTGTATTTCATACTAAATTAATATTATTATTTTTTATCCTAAATAAGAATTAAATTATTTCTGGGAATCTGAATAAATTTATAAAAAAATATAGCATAAGTTACTCTCAATAAACCTTAATTGTGTAAGTGGATTTAGACAGTGAATGCATGCACTCTGAAACTTGCTCAAATCATGTCAGAGGTGATATTTCTTTCTAGGCAGGTAATTGTCTAGAAAATAAGCTGCCATCCTCTCCCTCCCCAAATAGTGTATTGCAAAAATCAAGGAGACTAAAATTCTACTAAACAAATGATTGAACTAGGCAAAGAACTTGAGCATGTATGCTTCATATCAGAATGGGCCATAATAAAAAGAATTGTGAACAAAGAGCTTTATTTTTGTTACTATAGTATTAAATTATTTAAATTATATAAATCACCTTTATGCTTGTTTAATTATATATATATATTCAAATGTACTTATTACTAATACATTTTGATATTCATTCTAGATATATGATAGATTATCAGATTTAATGGCTTTTGGTGCATTACTTCCTTGTGATGAATGTGAAGGTCAATTAGTTTTTAGAAGTGGTATTGGATATCAATGTTTAGGATATAAAAATGAGTGGTTAAAATGTGAAAAAGTTATGGTTGAACCACATCGTGTGGAGTTCAAAATTCCTAAGCATATTCTTGAAAAAGATGATTTTCTGTAAGAAAAAAATTTATTTGATTTTTATATTTTTTCAATTTCAATTATAAATGTTTCTTTAATTGTGAAATTAAAATTTCTTTTAGTAAAAAGTATAAGTGCAAAATACTGAATCGTTTGTTTGAAAAATCTGATAGAACTTCTATAACGCAATCATCTACCACGCAAAATGATAAGGGCCTGTAAGTTCAAAATGATTTCAAAATAATTAGATGTTATTTATTTGTGTTACATTTTCATTTCAGAGTAAAAGTAACTCGTATTCTTCCACTAAAAAATATGGAGTTTACAACTTCATTAAAAGGCTTAGAACTGAAACAAATTAAACTTAAAGTTGCAAAATTTGGTGGTACATTAATTTCTCATTGTACTAATAATGTTGCAGCTGTTTTTGCAAACACAGGTATTATTATTATGATTTAAAATTATTTCAGTTTTTTTGGCTTTTCATTTTTTATGGTTTTAAATGATCAAAATCTAAGTAATAATTTATAAACTTAACATATTACTAAGGTGAGAGGGTAGGGGTTTGTTCAGGTAAATTATTCTTAATATGCCATAGTAGAACTTATGGCAAATGACAATAATATTAAAATAAGCAGTCTACCTAATAGGATCTGTATACACGGAAAGTAGAAGAAAAAGAAAAATTTATTTTTTAAAATTCTCAATATTTTTTTTTAAATCATTGAGAAAAACAAAAAAAAAATATCAAGGAAAGCACTGAATTTATACTTAATACCAATATTTAACAAAATTGTTATTGTTTTATAGTATAACTCAAAAACAAATAATAGTAGATATGCGACATTTTCTCCAAATGTTGATAAGCATTTTTTATACTTGATAAAATTCTCGAGATTAATTGTTATCTTTTAGGTTACTTTAAAATTTACTCTTTTTTGTTTTGAATAGTGACAAAAATGTTTTTGAGTTTGAAAAAAAATGTGATTAAGGTTTGTTGTTAAAATAGAAATTTAAAAATATTAATAAGATGTAAGCCCAATTTTTTTTTGAAAAATATATTTCATTAAAATAATTCATTTATATAGTGCAATGCCCTTTACAAAATAGCAAATGTATAAAGGGGCTTCCCTACAATATCTTTGATTTCTCTATAACTGATTAAATACCATTCTCATTGTCCAATTTAATAAAATAATCTGAAAAATTTGAATATAATTGTTTTAAATACATTTGAGTTGTTTAAATTTGTTTAGCATGAATAACTTATAAAACTTATTAAACACTTTTTAAATTTATTCTTATAAGTTAGGTTAATCGATATTTATATTTAATTATTACTGTTATTTCTGATTCGAATAATATTTTCATTTTAAACAGACAGCATCATTAAAAAGAATGTGAAGATAAAAGAAGCCGAAAGTTTCGAAATAGAAGTTGTTGAACCTACTCAATTTTTTGATGCTATTGATAAAGGTGGCAATGCAATTGAATTGATAACTATACTAAACTCTGCACCTTGGGGAGGAAAAGTAGTTATTGTTATTATCATTTTTTTACTGTACAATATAAAGTATAAATAATTAATTTAATTTAGGCCAAAGAAAGAATTGAAAAAAGACAAAAAGAATTGGAATTAGATTATAAAAATAAAAGCAATTTAAAAAGTAAAATATCAGGAAAAAGTATGTATGAGAAAAGTGTACCAACAAGTGTGAAGTTGACCTTAAAAGGTGGTATTGCCGTTGAACCACAKTMTGCACTTGAACATAAAGCTCATGTTTATAAGCAAAATAATGAAGTATGGAATGCAAATTTGTGTCTTTCTGATGTGCTGACCGGTAAAAACTCATATTATAAATTGCAATTATTAGAGTCTGACAATAATAACAGGTATTCTATACATTTTAAATATATCTATTTATTATACAAATTAATCCATTATTTTTCTAAACAGGTATTGGGTATTCCGTTCTTGGGGAAGAATTGGTACCACTATAGGAGGTTTTAAGACAATTGAGCATAAATCGTTACAAGAGGCCAAACAAAGTTTTGAATTATTTTATGAAGATCAAACTGGAAATGCATGGAGAAATAGAAATCATTTTGTAAAAATGCCTGGTAAAAAAGTTCCTGTTGAAACTGATTATGGACAGGTAATCTTGATCTTTTTATTTGACTTATTATAGAAAATTCTAACCTTTAGTCGTTAACCACCTCTTCATCAATTCTTATCAACAGCTACCTCTCAACAATTGTCTATTCCTAGTGCAGTAAAACCTGTCTTATGTAGAATTGCACGGGACCAATAAAAATTTCTGTTTTAGGTAGGTTTCCATATAACTGAATAAAAAAGAAAATTCTGTACTATTCTGTATTATATTCTACACGATTAAGCTTGTAACATTTTTCGGCGAATAATAAAAATATAAATATCATAGGCTACAATAAATTTTAATTTTTAGTAAATAATTACATAATAATTATTAATTAGATATTTTAAAATAATGATAAATTACCATCTTTACATTGTTCCCCTTTAATTTTAATGTTTTTGAACAGTGGCAAAACGAACTTAAAATGACCCATAAGCAAACTTACAATTTACACTTCCGCCCACCCATCCATTAGTGCTATTACCCATAGTACCTACCTATACCATAAGATACTGTAGAGTACTGCATCCAGAATATACGTTTTAACTTAAAAATATACGACTAAATGTTACATTATTTATTTGTAAATGCTTTGATTTGTATTTGATTGTTAAATTATAAAAATAGGGGGGGTTTGGAATGATGGGTGCTCATTGTTGTACGATAGCATAGAATATTTTAAACACTTTGGTTCTGCTGGTTAGATTTCAAAACTATTTTTAAACTACTTTTTTAGTATTTATTTTCATCAAAAGTTCATAGTGACTATTGCATGGGAACTTATTTTTACAGCTAGGCATTACTATTTTAATCACCATATCTTCTAATTAGGTTTCTGTAGGTTTTTTCTTGATATTACTAAGCATTTTGTCTTTTCTTAATCTATGTTGAAATGCATCTGTTTACTTTTTTGTACAAACAGGTATTAGAAACTTTAAGTCTTGTAAAGATTGCATATTTATATTTGTTGAATTAATTAATAATTATTATTATTAATTTGTGTTTTAGGATGAATCCAAAACTCTTGATTCTATTAGTAATATACCATGTAAGTTACCTGAACCAGTACAAAGGCTGATTCGTTTACTATTTGATGTTGAATCTATGAAAAAAGTTATGTACGAATTTGAAGTAAGTTATCACATAAGTTAATTTAATGTAAGAGCTTATAATTGTTTTAAAGAAAAAATAAATAGATTGACAGGTTATGGTGATCAATAACTGCTGTGTCTTTAACAATAATTAAAATTCAATGTTCACCATTAATCGTTTAAAACGACTGATTAATATTTTGGTTACTTGTTGATTGTTGTTAAAACTTGATTTTAGATTATCAATGTTTTTATGATTTTTATTTGTGTCATAATTTTTCATGCATTTACATTATGGTTGTTCTTCTAAATTATATAGTTCGTATGTTAATTAACACCAAATTTGAAAGTTGGTGAATGTCTTATACTCAGACTTTTTAGTTTAGGTTTATGTTAGTATGATTATACTGATAAAAACACTGATTATAAGATATACATTAAGGGCCGGTTTCACCACTACTTAAAACTACGATTAAGGTAAACCGGGGTTTAATCGGCCGAATTTGGCTGGTTAAATAACTGTTATCAGTCGATTAAGCGTAATCGATGTTTAAAGTATTTGGTGAAAGCGGCCCTAAGCATATTTATTATTCTGAGAGCAGTGAGGGGTATTGCACCGTAGTTATTGGTGGGCACATTGTGCTCTTTATGCTCCGTTTCAAAAGTGATTATACCAGTTTTTGTCTGGGAGTAATTGCCTCACCAATTATCCGTCTGACAACGCGTATTTCATGGTGTATGCAAGTTGTACAAATTCGGATATGATCATTGTCTGTCACGTGGTCACTGTGTGCCAAGTGACATGTAGATTGGGAAATTTGGGTTCCGGGCTTTCTCGAACGTCAGTCGTGATGTGAAGAACCAATATAATCTCCTTTGAAGCTGTGTATGTATCATATAATGTAACTTACACAACTTTATAGTCTAATTGTCGTCCAGTTAAGCATTGATTAACTAAAATCAACTTAATCTTCAGAAAATAATATTATAATAAGTACAAAATTAAGTGAATCTAAAAATGAAAGATACCAGTGAATATGGTAAAATCCTTAAAATATTTATCAATATTAAATAAACATATTTTTTGGCTGTTTATTTTAGTGTTCATTCTAAAAAACTAATAATTAAACTACTATTAGAAACCATTCATTATTTAGATTGGAAATATGTTTTGATTATAAAATTTGGATTGATATTACTATGAATCATTGTTATTAATTAGATAATTATTTTGATTACTGGTAAGCAGTAGTCACTATGAAGTAGTGGTAAGTGAAGCGACGCTACTTTATTTATAGTAATTAATATAGTATTGCTACAATACATCTAAACTAACAAAATACTTAAGCGCAAGAAATTTTTGATTAATATAGCAAAAATATAAATTATTTTGTAAATAATAAATACCTTCAACCTATTTGATGATAGTTAAAATACTTTGATAAATATTATATTTTTTATGAACATTATAATAATGAAGACTGTATTAATGAATTTTGATTAACTTGCAAAGTTAAATCTTGTTCAGTTTCAAATTTTAAATATCAGTACAAATTATACACCACCAGTTTTCTATAAGAACATTTAAAAAAAAAAATGTAGTGTAAAAGTAACTCCCCAAATTTAAACAATAGTGTCAGACAGTACCTACATAAAAAAAAAAAGGAGCAATAGTAATAGCGAGTTACTTTTTAAGAGAGTAGCTGTATTGTTAGCACGCTACAAAAAAAACCAATAGTATCCAGACTATTAGCCAATAACGTTTTCAGCTTCACTAAAATAAAGGAATTACTGGTTCTCAAAATATTGATTTTTAATATTATTTGTTGCTAAACAGTACTTTATTTTAGCACTTTCATTGTATTCAGTTTAAAAATTATTATTTTGCATTTAAGTTATGATGATATGTTTTAGTTGGATTTACAAAAAATGCCACTGGGAAAATTGAGTCGCAACCAATTGCAACAAGCATACAGTACATTGAGTGAATTAAATAGTATAATAGATTTGAACGACGAAAAAAATAAAAGAGACAATGTGGTCATGGCTACTAACAAGTTTTATTCTCTGATACCACATGACTTTGGCATTAAAACACCACAGCTTATTGATTCAAAAGAAATTCTTAATGTATGTAATAATGTTAATTTAATAATGAATTGAAGACAGCGGAAACACTGGAAATTGCAATTTTTTTTTTAGTCAAAGTTAGAAATGATAGGAAGCCTGATGGAAATCCAAATTGCATACAGCATGATGGACAATAAAACTTCTGAAGAATCTATGTTACATCCTCTTGATACTCATTTTATGAAATTAAATTGTGCTATTGATGTGAGTTCTAAATTATCATTATGGGAGTTAATTCAAATAAATATTAATATTCTGATTTCATTCTTCAGGTATTGCATTCTGATATGAATGAGTTTACCTTCATTCAACAGTACATAATAAATACTCATGCCGAAACTCATAGCTCTTATTCTTTAAATATCTCAGATGTTTTTAAAGTAATTAGATCTGGCGAAGAAAAACGATTTAAGCCATTTAAAAAATTGCACAATCGTAAACTATTGTGGCATGGTTCACGTATCACTAATTTTGCAGCTATACTTTCTCAAGTACATTAATCTCTATTAAAATAAATTGAATATAGTGGATAAATATATTATGTATTTATATATTATTGTATTTTTATATTTATTTATATACAAATTATATTATAAATTATAATAAAAGAGTATACCTAATTATTTTCTTTAGGGTTTACGCATTGCTCCCAAAGAAGCTCCAGTTACCGGTTACATGTTTGGTAAAGGAATATATTTTGCTGACATGGTGTCAAAATCTGCCAATTATTGTATGGCGTCTCATGGCAATAATACCGGCTTATTACTATTGTGTGAAGTTGCACTGGGTAACATGTATGTATTGATTTAACTGGAATATTTTATGATTTAATTAACTATGTAATATTGTTTAATTTAGGGTTGAGTGTAAAGCATCCGAGTACATAGAAAAATTACCGTCTGGAAAGCACAGCTGTATGGGAATTGGTAGAACAAAACCTGATCCTGCTGAATCATTATTTATCGAAGATAAAATTGAAGTGCCCCTTGGGAAACCAATTTCTTCAAATATCGACGATACATCATTACTATACAATGAGTATCCTTTTTTTACATTTGAAATGAACCTTATCATATTTTACAAACTTTTATTTGTGTACTCATGATATATTAATACAGTAAAAGCCATCTATTGCAGATATCATAGGTGAATCAAATTATTTACTATTATGAATTATTTTCCCATGTTTATTATGCAGAAGAGTTAAATGTCTGTAAATAGAGGTTTCACTGTATTCTAGCTTTATTGCAATAGCATTTTAGTATATCATTTCTTTAACATTTACTTTTTCAGATTTATTGTCTATGACATATCACAGGTTAAAATTCGTTACTTAGTCAAAGTGGATTTCAATTTTAATTACTAGAAGTTAAATTAAAATGTATGTTAAATTACCTCATTATTATTAATTATTATTATTATTATATTTTTTTTTTACTTAAAGGTAACATTTTTTTTTATCCATTAAAAGTAAGTTTGTATTCTGTATTTCTGAAGGTTACTGAAATAAATGTAAAATTTCAAAGTAAAAATTGATTTAACTTGATCTGTAAACAATTAACACATATTATAATTTATAACTACATTAATCATTAAATATAATTTAATAACAGCTATTAGTTAATGAAATATCAAACTCAAACCATTCAGAACCACTATTGTTTCACCAGTAAGGATAAATTATAAATGCATTCTGTCTGGTCTGTTGAAAAATCACTTCACAATGTATAACAGTTTCTCTCTTATAATTAGTGCCATCCCCCCTCTCCCATGTTTTAGTCAACATTTTTTAAATTTATTTTTATAAGGCATTACAATCTAATTTTAGCTAGAACGATAAGTAAATGTGGATAAAGTAATTACACTTGAATCTTTCGATGGAAGAAGCCACCCATTAGTGACCCTACCTATTTTGAATTTTAGATTAATAAATCTTAAATAACATGCATATTTTCAAACACACAAGGGATAAAAAATACACACTCAACAATTGACAATTATTTTTTGAATATTTTATTAAACTAATAAATTTATAATTAAGCAAGTGTTACATTAATACTTTTTTTTTAATGTGTTTTATTAGTTATCTATAAGAAAAAAATAAGATTTAAGAACCAATTAATATCACAATTATATCCTAAAATGAATTTACTTTGGTACCTAAATATTTTGTTTTAATTTATTAAAAAGAAATTCAATTCCTTTGGGCAGCCATGAAGGCTTACAAATATATCTTAATTTATTCCAATATTAGTCGAAATTATAAAAATATAATATTTTTCTCTCTATTAAAATTTTTAATTATTTCAAAGATTTCTAATTCAACCGAAAACACCTTAAATATGCAATTTAAATCATAAGATAAAAAATGGGTTACATCGAAATATGTATGTATAATGTATGTATCACTTTGAATTGTTATGTGTCAACAAATAATCTACCCTTTTAGCATTTCATATAATGAACCAGGATAAATATGCAAATGCATACAAATTTGTGCTCTATTTATAGTAATACACAGTGGCGCAACTACCGGTGGGGGGGGGGAGTGTCAAACACCGGGGCCCAAAGACTGCAGGGGCCCCTGGGCCCCAGCCTAAATAAAATAATCTATTTCCATATTTGATAATAAGTTTCACAATAAATATAAAAATCATGACATTTTGATCATTTATATTTATATACCTATTTATAATTTATATATAATGACTAGTACAGTGAAATTATTGCATTTATTTTGCATCTTTTTTGTGAATGCTTATATACAGTGATGTAGTCCTAAAAAAAATCATGGGTAAACGCCTTAATCATTGTAAAAAAAAATTTGGAGCCTACGCCCTACAACCCCCCCTCCATTTTTATTTTAAAAATATAGCTCTACTTTATTTTTGTGGAAACAATTTTCAAACTTTTTTAACCCCCCCAGTCATCCCACCATTATTCGGTACTTGTACAATTCAAAAAAATCTATTTGTCTATATAATATACAATAGAACCTCATAAATTATGATTGATATATTTTAACCTCATATTTTGAATACGGGTAATCAAGGATCTAAGATAGGTACTTTTAAATCATGGGTAAACGTAAACCCAATTAACTGATCGAGATTTGCTTCTATATTGTTCTATGACAATAGTAAACAATTTACRACGCTTATCTTTTTTTTGTTATTGAATATCAAAATTTAATATATTATACTACCCAATAATATTTCTTAAATAAATTTTATTGCCTAGGTATAATTGGGTAACGTTAATACGTATGTGGTTCATGCCTTCATGGTCAGTGTACCCGCGAACCAAGATTTTCGTTAAAGGTACTAGCATGAAGCATTAATCTAAAATTGGGAGGCGAGTACACGCCGCGGTGTACCCGCGTGTACACTACACTACACCACTGCTTATAAATATGTTTGGTTTCAGTGTTAATTCAAATACATTTTCTTTTTCTTAAGTGAAAACAAATTTAAAATACTTTTAACAATATAGTTTTCATTATATTACTCTAAAATATATAAAATATTAAAATGTACAGTATATAAATGACTAGTGTAGTCTTAAAAGTTATAATTTTTATTTGTTTTTATAAGAATATTATGATTTATGTTGTTATTTGGTTGGTAAAACTTTTAATAAATMTATTAACTTAATTTTAATATGTGGTATTGATAATGAATAGTAATTACCACTTCCATTTCAGTAAACTGATTAGAAACAGTTGTTACAACTTACAAGTGTATAAGTATAAGTTATATCATTAAATACATTACCTAATTTTTTCCTTTTGGCAATTTATCATTTTATCGACCAAATTTTGTTCACAATAATAAGCATAAATAATTTTAATTAGGGCCCCTTAGTTAAAAGTGACAATAGGGCCCCAGTTAGCCTAGTTGCCCCACTGGTAATACACTTTTTAAATCAACTAGATAACTATTATTGTTTTACTCAACATTAATTATACCCTACATACTCAAATATTTATTTTTAACAGCGTTTTACCTAAGTTTAGTAAAAGTGATTTATGATAAAATTAAAATATGTTTAACACTAACAACATGAAATTTAATTCCTTGAACTATGTTTACTAGAACTTGGTTTTTTTTTATTTTAACCCTTCTAAGTATCAATTATATTAACTTTTCTACCAGAAATGAAGACAAATATTGAAGCATTTAATGACATTTGAATAAATAAATAAACGAAAATCAATACCATTCATCTCCTCAGTCTAGAATGTGTAAAATTGTCCTAATGGTTGTACAAAAAAGTATTCTCTTTGTTAATTCTGTGATTTTAACACATAATAAGCTTAATTGAGATATAGTTTATATTAAACATTTTTCCTTTAAAATGATATTTAATGTTACATTAACTGTACATTTTTATTGGGTGACTACAGGTTATTATTAAACTTATTAATCATTGAATGTTATTATACAATAAATGTTTTATGTTATGTTTTTAACATTACTAATAAAGAAAATAAAATAAAAATAGTAAAACATTGAATTTTTATTGTATATACCTAACTGTAATTCACATAATTAGTAGCATAAAACTTTGGACAAGAAATTATGTTACACATAAGTAATACATTTGTAAATGACACTAGATTTTATTAAGAATTTTTATAATTTAAAGCAATTATATATTGCCAGGGAATCGATTTTCTTCGATTTGAGTGTTCCATTTATCAATCCATGCATTTGGGCATATGGAATTGGACACACGTTTGTAATATTGGCATGCATCAAACTCTTCACCTCTTATTTTTTTGCAACGTTGATAATCTAAAAAGCTTTGATAACAGTACCTAGGACATAAAAAATTAAAATATTAATAGTATGTTTTTCTGAGTACACTATGAAGAAACATTATAACATTATAACTATAATATGTTGTTTATTCGTTATATTCCTAATTTTGACTTCAGACTTTTTACGATCATCACTTTTTTTTTATCACAGTTAATATCTTTATCTAATATTAAAATTTAAACAGTGCTGTTTTTATTTCTAAGAAATCGTTTCCCTATAGAACTTTAAATATAACAATGTAATTGATTGGGATATTTGACGCATTATTTTGATAATTTTATCCATCACTATGATAATATGTACACACAATTATTCAATTCGGAGGAAGGGTGCTCGATAATTAATAATTAGGTAGAATTTTATTTTTATTCTGTACTAGTTAATAATTTAAGACATTTAAATAAGCTATTCAAAAGATTTTGTTCAACTTCTCAAATTTTTTAGTGGAAAAAATGCTCTGTTAAACTTTAACTTAAGGTTTTAGTAAAATTGGATCTAGTTGGGAGGTCGATATTGAAAATTCTCAACTTTTTAAATAACAATAAAAAAAATTATTTGGTAATCTTGGTTTACGCTTAGTTTATTTTTGATTAATTTTAGTTTATTTTTTAATTTTGTATCATTAATGATTCATTTTTTATAAAGAATGAAATATGTACAGGCTCTTTATCAAAATGTAATGTACTGGTTGGTTTTAAGCACTTGGCAGGGCAATCAGTACCAATGGCCTTATGGGATAAGGCAAATGCACAAGCTAGAACCAGGATTTGTCTGAACCCCCAGAGCATTTTCATTTGAAAAAGAGTTTGGATAATCTGTAAAACGTTTATAAATGTACAATTTATTTAATATTGGCTATAGGTAAGGTTGAAACTGTCTTGATAAATATTAAAATAATTATAATTATAAGGACAATGGAAAGGAGGTTCTTTAGCCCATTAGCACTTCTACTATACACTAAAAATGCAAAATTGTAAAGGATGAGTTTAAATTCTATATTTATTTATCGTATATGATATGTAAAGAAAGAGAAAGTTTCAGATTTAGGATATCCTAATAAAACACTTTATAAAAAAGAAAATATTTCAATTTAATTAGTCATATTAATCATTTTGAAAATATGAAAACAATACTGAAATAAGAAAAAAAAAATAATATTAAGTTATTTCAGTTTTTAATATATCATATATAACATTACTTGGTTTGATTGGTATTTGGGAAACGAGGATCCCATGGTGCAGTTTCAAGTTTGACTCCCTCTACTTCAAGAACCATTGTGTTGGATATGCTAAAAAAAATAAAAAATAAAAATATATTTTTGAAAAGGTACATTTTTAACAAAAGTTATGTCTTTAGGATGGAAATATATTTCTTTATTGGGAAGGTTCAAATCATATTTTGCTACATTAATTTTAATTTAACGTAGGAATATAACAATTTAACAAATGGTAACAATAATACCAAAAATATATACAATCAAGTATTTACTAAAAAAAATTAAGATTTGAATTATATAATACACTTGTCAAAAATCAGATACTTAAAAAAAATAGGCATAAAAGAATTTGTATTATTAAATTATAAGAATCTAATTTTTGTTGTTAATCAACATTTTAAATACAACTTTTTTATATCTTGATTTTATTAAATATTTAAATTGTACTATTTTTACTTTTCACTTTATACCTAGTTATTTAATATTTTGTCTGATTTACTTTTAAGATAAAATTTATTTATATTTACTTTTCACCCAACAATTTATTGTTGATTTATCACTAAATTAAATTTAAAAAAGCATAACTTATAGTTTTGTTAAAAATTAAAATTAAATTCAGTAATTATCATAGCTGAAAGTAAAATAATAATAATTATTATTATCTTAAATTCACCTGTATACTCACAAAGGTCGCGAACTTACTCAAAGGTTGTATAATTTGAATTTCTAATAGAACTCTATTTTTTTTTTTTTTTCAATACAAACTAAAAACTTTAATTAATTAGGTTCATAATTTTAAGTATAGAGAAACCTTGATCCACAGATATTTTCTCAATAGTACATCAACTATTTTAGTCATATTTATCAATTATACAAAGATTTTATAGTATTATATGATCTTGAAAATATAAGAGAATGATTAGATGGGTTAACCATTTATTCATTAACTAATGATATATATATATTTTTTGAAATTTCACATAAAAACTCAAGTTCAATACAAGTTACAACTCATCCAAAAACAAGGTTTATTATAGGCTTTTAAGAATAAGCATAAAATATAATACCAGCATAGTTTGTTACATATCTAAAATATAAATTATCAGTTAAGTATACTTAAACATAAAATAAAACTTTAAAACAATAGTAAAAACATGAAATGCATATAAATTTTTTTTTAAAACAAGTATACATTTAAAAGTTTAAAAATAAAAGTAAAACCCTAGTTTAATCATTATGTTGTAGGTACACTTATATAATTTTATAACTTATTTTTTAAAAAGTAACAACCAAAGCAATTATGTTAAAAATGATTTTTGATTGAACATAGACACATTACTAGTTCGTATTTTACTTTTTAAAGTATTGTATTTATTTACAGATTAAATGTATAAAGCAGGATTTTGTAATTGGTTATTTTACAAGAGGTCTAGTTTTATTATCCTGTTCTCCCACTGTTTCCTGGTAACGTTTAACTTCATCTAAATACAATGACCAAGCATCTGTAGGTTTAGATACTTTTTTTTCATCGTCGGGCTTAACCTTTTTTACCACACCCGTTTTTAATGCTTTATTTTTACGTTTGCCAATTATTGGCAACATTTTAAGAGTTTCAGATCGTTTTTCAGAGGCAACTGCCGAAGTAGTAGTATTAGTAGAAGTAGCAGCAGCAGCAGCAGATGAAGTTTGAGATACTTGTACTTCAGGTATTGGTAGTTCTCCAATTCTGGCTTTCTGCTGCTGTTGTTGTTGTTCAAAACGTTGATATACTTCTAGGAATGAGCCATCATTTTTAAATGCATTTTGGGCATGTTGATTGTTATAGCTTGACATGATTGCAAACACGCTTTGTAATCAGCTTTTTCACTCAACACCTATAATCAAGAAACTCTCGCACATCACATTACGGTTCTAAAATCTTAAATTTTACTACAGCCAAAAGAAGGCCAAAATCCCCAGTTCCAAAATTTTTTAACGTTTTCAGCTTAAAGTTAACAAATAAGTATATACACATGGTAACAACTTTATATTTACAACTTAATAACTACATGAAATATTAGATAGGACACTAATTGGAGTTTACTGTAATAGTTAATAATTATTCTTATCTATGGTCAGTTTGACACAATAATAAAGCATTAACTTTAAAACCATGAATATAACATACATATTATGATACACCACATATACAATAAAAAGTACCTATAATAAACCAAATTCACCTAAAACTGTGTTGACCTTTGAAGGTCTTCTTAACTTTCAACCTTAAGACATGTTAATTAAGAGCTATAGAATACTGTTGATAATAAATAATAACAATCGCGTAAGATTTGAATACTGTAGACTTGATAGGATTATTTAAGTCACTATACATTCACAATAAATTACTTATAATAATTATGAAATAAATGCATTTTTGGGAGTATAGAATAATTCCATACAGATCAAACGCACATAAAATAATACTTTATAATTTATATAGGCTATAATCTCAATGAGGTAAAATACATAATTAATTACCTGAAAAGTAGATTCGATAATTGTATTGAGTATTTTTAGATGAACTCTGCGTCTCTGCTATTTTCAAAAGAGTAAGAAAATTGTATGTTCTCAATTTACGAACACACTAACACAGTCATAAACTCATAAAACGAAATCGAGAAAAAAAATGATAGTGTAATACAAAAGAAAAAATCAATCTGCTGAGTTCAGAAACAATATGGTTAACTGGAAGAGAAAATTTAAACAGTGCTACCAAAAAAACAACTCGAAATTAATTAAGCAACAAAGTAAGAAACTAAGAAAGCTATTTTCAATATGAATGCCGGTGATTTTAGAATAGTCTATTCTATAATCAATGATAGAACTATAGTTCCGGGGAGAATAGAAATCAAGTATAAGGCATAGACGAGAATACTAAGGTATAAGGGCTAAAGGACTATAGTTGAATGTTATGGATCTAGAAAGTCGGATCTTATGAATATTGGAACTATCTGATTACATGTGAGTATTTTCTATTTTATAACTATAACGTCTATAACTACACAACAAATCAAAAATGATGCACGGATACCAGTTACGCGTCGTACAGAAAACAGTCACCTGGATTCTTGGTTTGCTTTGTAAAATTTTAAATTACTTAAAGGACTATACAACTAAAAAAATCCTAATTTTTTTTATTGTGTGAAAATGTAGTGCTTAAAAAAAGAAAAACTGGTGGTATGAAAATTTTTGTCGGGCAATTGCTTTGGTGTTTATTTATAAGTCACGTAAAACGCGTGACGTCATAAAATCACACCGTCCGCCGCCGGGCCGTATCTAAAATACACGCGTTGTAGTTATTTCACTCGATTAAAATAACTATAGAGAAAAATTGATTTAAGGTATAAGTTATTAAAGTACATTTATAAAAAGGTTATACATTTCTTT